AGGGAAGCTGCTGCTGTTTGCAGCGAGCTCAAGGCCAGACAGATAAACCCATGTGAGGAAATAAGGGCAGCACCACATTACTGAGCTGGGGTTTTCATCTCCTCCCCAGCTCGGTGCCACAAGACTGGTGGCTGAAGGGGACAAAGCACAGCTGTGTGTGTGGGAGCAGGAGGTGGCGAGGTGGTTCGAGCACATTGTACCTCACAACGTCCAGGGCTCCTGTGCCCACAGATCCAATGAGCCCCTTGGCTAGGACAGGGGGGAACTGCAAGCCCACAGCTGGAACTGGTGGGACTGGCTCACACCAAGAGCAAAAAGGCAGCCAGGCCTTTGGCAACCCAGCCCAGAAAGTCTCTTTTATTTTTTTATTTCAACATAGTAGTGCTTGGTTACAGTTTAGTGAAGAACAAATAGGTACATTCATTGGCCACAGCTTCCTGTTGCAGCCAGCTGCTGCCTGACTGCAAAGCCAAAAACACTGGTAAACCAGACCAAAAAAAATTAAAGAAAAAAAGAAAAAAAATCAGTTTAATGAAAGGCAACTATGCATTAAAAAAGTCATTGTACTTCTCAGCTATAAATTACTTCAGTAAAACACAGGACCAGCCCCAGCAGGAGAGGGCAGAGTTTTGAAATTTAAACGGCCATCCGTACAAAGGAATAAAACCCCAAACACTTTGCCAGTCACTCACGAGTACAACAGCAACGAGACTCACTGCCCCGACCTGCCGTCCTCACCCCAGGAACGTCGTGGTGGTGGTGGTGTCATGTGCTTCAGTGCAATATCAACAATGAGCCTGTAGCCCTTGAATTTTTTTATTTTTTAATAATTTTATAATTTTTTTTTTTTGCACTACGCTCCTTTCCCTCCAAATTAAAAACAAAACCAAACTTAAAGTGCTCCTAGTGCTTTGGAATTGAAGCAAGAACAGGGGCCACTAGTGTCACTGACTGTCTTTGGTGACTTATGGGAGAAGAAAGAAGGGCAACACACCCAGTCCAGGTCCTTCATTAGCTTTGCCATAAGTCAAGCAGTGATTGAGATGGAACAACCCGTTCCTGCAGCCCAGCCAAGGCAAGGAGACAGGTCCCTCACCCCCCACAAAGGTGGGACAACCAGGAGAGCCACAGCAGAGTGCTCTGGGTCAAGTGATGGAGCAAGAGGGATGTGCTGAAAGTCATCACCTCAGAGCCTTCTCCAAAAAGCAGCAGGGGTTGGGTCTTTGTTTTGGGGCCAGAGTGAAGCAGGGTGGCAGGGAGAGGCCCACAAGCCAGCACAGGAGATGGCAGAGGGGGACAGGGTGTTCTCAGTGTGACAAGTGACACTGAGCTCAGTACCAGTGAGGTGAGTGAGCAGGTGACCAGACCATACCAGTGAGCACACGGCAAGTGAGGAGAGGCCAGGGCTGCCCCAGTGCTTGGGGTTTCTCTCTCTCACACACACACACATACACAGAGCTATGGCCACTGGGGCTGCCTCAGGGTCCCTCTGGCCCCAGAGCCCAGCCCAGTGTCCCACAACACCGTACCCCTCCATGCACAGGTGAGTCCTTCAGTGTCAGACTTGCATTTGAAGAGCAGGAGCAGCTCTAGGTGAGTTAAAAGCAGTTCCAGTTCAGGTTGGCACTAAAGGTCAGAGCAGCTGCCCTCCCTGGACCCACATCTCCACCCAAGCTTGTGTCCAAAGCTGCTTCACTCATCCCCACATGGTGCTCAGGGACAAGCCAGGAATGATGTCAAGGCTCATCTCCAAGAGCCTCATCTCCAGGCCAGGTCCACAGTTGTAAATTTGGTTAAAGAGGGACAGAGAAACCTTGTCCCAGGCTGACCCAGCAGACTCAAACCCTGTGTGCACCCCAAAGTGCTGCTGCCACACTTACTGGGGCAGCAGGAAGACTCCAGGCCCACAGTCCTGCCCCAGGGCCAGGGGAGAACAAGGAGACCAGGGACCACATCTCTGCACCTTCCCTCTGTGACAGCAGACACCACCTGCACCTCAGCAGGGACCCCACCAGTTCACATTCACTTCAGGTTAAAACTCTTGGTTATCTGCTAAATGTGATTTAATACTGAGGAGGAGAAGGAGAACCCCACCATGGGTGAAGAAGAGGAGGGAGCAGGACTGCTCTCACCACCCACCAGTTACCAGCAGCCTTAGTCTGACATGTGCTTTGGGCCACATGTGTTCCTGCACATACACACACACTCCTGCTGAGCCAGCTCCAGCTCTGCTCTTCCCAGAAGGCAGCAGCCCAAGAAATGGGGCAGGGGAAGCACGACCTCATGTCTTGCCCCCTCACTTGACAGCAGCTACCATCCCCACCAGCCCTCTCCCTTCACCATAAGCCAGTGCCTTGGTTACAAGATGATGATCTTGAAGCCAGCAGGAGCTCTCCTCTCCCCTCACAGACCTCTGTAAGACACACTGAGCTCAGCTCTGAGCCCACAGTCCCAAGTAGGATGGTTCAGCAATCAGATGAAACCAGGAGCAGCAGTCAGAGCCAGACCACCCTCAGGCCTGCCAGGTGTGACCACAGCACAGGAGATCTGGCCCATAACACACTCAGTTGCCAGAGTTTCACAGTCCCAAGTGAGTCAGGATGCAGAGTACTTCATGGAACACGTCTTTGCAGGAAGACAGTACCTCTCCCAGCTATGGATGTGCAATTAAAAGAGTAACTAGAACAGTCTCAGACCGAGCACAGCCTGAGCAAGATGTCCTTCCAAGTGTGCAGAGAAAAGTGCAAATATGCATTTGATGTTTCTTTTCTAGTGAGGAAGCTCTGGTGCATTTAGCTGCCAACATCTTGAAGACCAGACCAAGAAAAAGCTTCCAAAAAAAATAAAGAGTTCAGCTTCACTTTGCTACATGGTACCTTTAAAGTCACAGTTCTCTTGCCTGCAGCCATAGGCTCAGTCCTGCTTCCAGCTGCAGCAGGTAGTGGAATGTTTGTGTTGATGAGTTAGATGCTTCAGGAGGGGGGAAGAAGGAAAAAGAAAAGGAGGTTATGATCTGATACATGAATGCCACTTCTGAGGGGAAAAAAAAAGAGAGAGAGAGGGGAAAAAAAAGGGACATTGCAGCCTCTTCAGTTCTGTGGTGCAGGGTATGAGCTGTGGTGGTTATTCATCTCCGAGCCGCCTGCGGCAGAGAGCAAAGGGGCACCGTCCGTAGCGGTTCCGCTGAGGTGGGGACCCACCGTGTAGTTGTCATTCCCAGCCAGGGACCCATAGCAGCCAGAGCACTGAGGGGTGGCCAAGCTGGGAGGAGAGACAGAAAAAAAACCAAACATGGACCCTTAGAGATGAATAATTGGGCTGTGGTTAGTCTCCACTGCTAGGAAAGACTTCTGCTCCCCGAGTATCCGAGTCTGCAGAAGACTGCTATCTCCAAGGAACCAGGTCCAAGGAGAAGAGCACCAGGCCCTACAACACTGGTCATGAAGAACCAGAACCTCTGATCCCCTCACTGCACCCATGGGCAGGTGGAGTTCAGACCCAAGTGAAGGACAGGGCTGGCAGGTTTCCCCTGAGTTGTGGGGATACCAGACCATTCTCCTCCACACGAGGTGCTCCTGCAGAGCTTTGTCCCAGATGCCTCCCAGAGACCACATCCCTCCCAGGGCTTCACCACCTCTTGCTGTCCAGTGGAGAAACTCCTCTGGAGGTTATTTAAGAGCCCTCTGCTCCCACAGCTGGGGAAGGATCCTGGCAAGATCAACCTTCCTGTCTGCAGCCACTGCATGTTTCTACCTGAGAGCACCTGGTGCAACATCCACCTCTCAGAGCTGGTCACTTCTGGCTAATAAAAATAGTTCCTTGTGAGCTGGAGAAAATATGCTCAGTCAGAAGGTTCCTTGCCCCATCAAACTGCTTCTTACACCAAATTTTTTTCTGAAGAGCAGAAGCCAAGAGCTCTGTTGCTTCCACAGCAGCTGTGCTCTCCCTTGCCCAGCACAAGGCTTACCCTCCTTCTCTGGCTCCAAGCCGTGACAAGTCATCGTCGCTGTCGTAGCGCCTCGGATTGTCAAAGAAGTAAGCTCTGGAGCTGTAACTGTGACTATTGACCATCCCCGCTGGAGTCTGTTAAAAGGAAAGGAGTTAGGTCAGAAGTGAAAGACTTCTGACAGCACCCCAGGCACCCTGGGGCTCCTCAAGCTACAGCAGCTCGCTCAGACCTACCAAGTTCTGACTCAGTCTCTGAGCCCGGAAGAACAGCACCACGAAAGTCGTTGGCACCAGCTCCCAGAGGAAGAGGACGACTCCAAACACCACGTACTCTTCACTGCTCACTTCCACGTGCACCTGGGGACAGAAGTTATAGAATCCCAGACTGGTTTGGGTTGGAAGGGCCCTTAAAGCTCATCCAGTTCAACCCCCCTGCCAGCAGCAGGGACACCTTCCACTAGACCAGGTTGCTCAAAGCCTCATCCAGCCTGGCCTTCAACACTTCCAGGGAGGAGCAGCCACAGCTTCTCTGGGCAACCTGGGACACTGTCTCATCACCCTCACACCAAACAATTTCTTCCTCACATCTCACCTCCATCTCACTTCTTCCAGTTTAAACCCATTTCCCCTTGTTCTGTCACTCCCTGCCCTTGGCCAAAGTCCCTCCCCAGCCTTCCTGGAGCCCCTTCAGGTACTGGGAGGCCACTAGAAGGTCTCCCCGGAGCCTTCTCTTCTCCAGGCTGAACAGCCCCAACTCTCTCAGCCTGTCCTCACAGCAGAGCTGCTCCAGCCCTCGCACCATCCTCGTGGCCTCCTCTGGACTCATTCTAGAGAAGAGGTTAGATGTCTCTGGATAATCCCAGCCATGATCAGAGCTACACAGCTCCCAGAGCTGGACACAGCACACAGAAGGAGGAATGCAGAGAAACCCTTAGGAAGGCAGGAGTCCCTAAACCAGACTGGTGACCCTTACCTGGCTGCTGCTACCGTTCTTAGCGAGATAGTTCTCTTCAGTGTGCTACCAGGGTACTTCTAGCTCACTCCCCACACCACCAACTCCCCTTTGCACAAAGCCATGCCTTATTAAGCATTGCTCTTCTGCTCTAGTTGACTTGTTCCTCCTCTCCCTCAAAAAGAGGAGTTGGCAGGGTGAAACTGAAGAGAACAACAGGGAATCCCTGCTGAAGAAGTAGCCAGAGAGAGGAAGATTCAGGTTTGCTCTGGTGGAGAGAACAAGCAGAGCTTCTGAAAACAGAAATCCAGCTCATCTGAGGATTCAGCAAAGCAGACACCCCACAACTCCCTTTTCCTCTCCTCACAGGCAAGTAGAGCAACTGCCTTCCACTTGGTTACCAGCTCTGGATTGGGGGTCAGAGACACACTTACCTTGTCTGAAAGGTTGTCCCAGCCATAGTTAAAAGGACCAGGAACACTGTCTGGAGATATGGCCACAGCTACCAGGTTATAGCAAGCCCTTGAGGAATACAGAAGAGCGACTACAGATCCCACAAGAATAGCCTGGCAGACAGATGTTCCCTAGAACAGGAAGAAAAACAGTTTTCAGAGAGTCCTTCCTACAGAGCTGGGATTTTTCCACCCCACTCCTTAAAGGCACAAGAAACTGTGCAGGCAAGAGTGACCTAGAACATTTCTGTGTTGTTGCTAAAATATTCAGAGCTGGTTAAGAGCTTTCCTGTGTGATGAGTTCACTGCAGCAGCAGAGCTACGCAGCCAGTGTCACCAGGGAGCAGGGAAGACTAGAGGCACAGGAGTGACGTTCTTATCAGTCAGCTTCAAATTGGTGGTCCAGAGAGATGCCATCCCACCCACTGCCTTGCTGTGGTCATCTCCAAAAGGCCAACCAACAAACATTAAGAAAATCAACTTATTGCTTGGACAGAATCCCAGAATGGCCTGGATTGGA